GACTCTGAACCCGTTTATACGGGTTCAAAGGGCATATTTTTGGCCGAGCCTATGGGCTCGGAGATCCCACGTTAAACCGGCCTTGTGCCACATAATACCCTCGTGGCGGGGTGTAACTAAATACCGTTCAGTCTGAAGTCGGACGACCGGCTGACCGTCCGATCGGTAGAACTCGGACGGAGAGGAACCCGGACGAGGCTATGCCGAAGGGCAGAGTCTCGATCGGGGAGGTAAACCGACCCTGAGCCCGTTTATACTACAAAAAAGGGTATATTTTTAGGCCGAGCTCACGGGATCGGAGATCCCACGTTAAACCGGCCTTGTGCCACATGATACCCTCGTGGGGGGTGACTAAATACTAGTCGATGTCGGACGACAGTAATCGACAGTTAGTCGAATACGAAAGTAGTCAGCGACCACAACAAGATCACTCTGCGTAATACCAAGTTCTTAACGTTTTGTACGTCGAACCTATTTTAGGACCGATTTAGCACAAATACAAGCGTCCACTGCGAAATAACTCCACAACACTTAAGAACACAAGTATGCAGCATACAAAGGTATTACGGTAGTCTATCCATGTTGTGCTGAGATTTCTACCTGTTTTTCTGCAATTTTCCAGGTTCATTTTGTCTATCTTTGCAAGCATATGAACGTTTTTGGCATCCCTTCTGCTCTAGGGGGAGAATGTTGTTTTCTTTGTGGAAAGAACAAGTACAGTTCGTCAGGACTGTCGTGGTCAATTTTTACACAGTGGGCAGACATGGTATTGGCTTATAATTTTTCGGATCATCTGTTTCACTCGATTTTGGTAGGAGATATGTAATAACTTCAGCGATCCATTATGGGACTTCATTGGAATTATTAAGTACTGATGAAGTTTGTGCAAAGGTTTTATGGATTGATGACAGATGATAGATCCCAAAATTGGGTACCTTGACATTTCCAGGGGATTTCCATTTTGGGGATTTCGTTAGAGATTGCCTAATATTATTCTTGGTTATATTTTCCCATTCTCGTAGAGGTTTATCCATTTCTCGTTTTTATTCGCGTTGAATCCATTCTACATTGGTGTCATATTCCTTTGGGCTGTTCCAAATATTCTTCCAAATTTCTTTCACATTATTATTGCTATTATTAATTATATTATTAATAATATTATTATTATTATTACTATTGCTATTATAATTACTATTTTTATTATTACTATTGGTATTATTATTACAATTATTATTAGTATTACTATTGTTATTATTACTATTATCATTACTATTACTAGTACTATTATTATTACCATTCTATTATTATTACTATTATTATTTACCATTATTATTATTATTACTATTGTTATTATTATAACTATTAATACTACTATTATTAGTATTACTATTGTTATTATTATCATTACTATTACTACTATTATTATTACCATTGTTATTATTATTAATATTACTATTATTACTATTGTTTTATTATTAATATTATTATTACCATTTCTATTATTATTACTATTCTTTATTATTATTACTATTATTATTAATACTATTATTATTTTAGTATTACTATTGTTAATTTTTACTATTATTATTACTATCGCTACTATTATTATTATTACTATTGGTATTATTATAACTATTATTATTACTACTATTATTAGTATTTTTATTACTGTTTTTATTATTACTATTATCATTAGATTTTACTACTATTATTATTACTATTGTTATTACTATTACTTATAGGCTATTATTATTACCATTTTATTATTATTACTATTATTATTATTATTAATATTATTATTAGTACTATTATTATTTGTAGTATTGTTACTTTTTACTATTATTATTACTAGTGTTTTTATTATTACTATTACCATTATTATTACTATTGTTATCATTACTACTATTATTATTACTTTTACTGTAATAATAACAGAAGCGTATGACGTTTTCTTTGGATATGCCAATGCGGATTAGAAAGATTTTCTACAAGCATAAAACATTTCATTGAAATTATCCACGAATTCCATGAAAGCCAATTAGCCGTAAAGGCAAAATAAAGTTACAGAGAGAAAAAAAAAAAATGCAATTTATCGTCCAAATTTCCATTGGTCGAATTAGAATTTAGAATTAGAATTTAGAATTAGAATTTAGAATTTGAATTTAGAATTTGAATTTAGAATTTGAATTTTTCCCTGAAATGCGTTTCTTTTTCTTTAGGCACATTTACGCATTCACATTCATTTAAACAGATGTATTACTTATTTAATATATTTTAAAACATTATAAATAGCAGCAGCACACACACACACACACACACACACACACACACACACACACACACACTAACAATCTCATACAAGAGGGTGCTGAAAATTTTTTCCTTTCAACCTACATCCCAGAGTCTGATCAAATGACAAATATAACATTTTAATCTCGTCTTAGTAGAACAACATTTCAGACTCGCTCCCCACGACGCCGTAGCACGTGTCAGTGTAAGATCAGGCGAAAACGAGTATCTCTGTCATCTCTAAGCTGGAGCTGCCCAATTCTCACTTTACCGCCCTGACAGAGTTCAAAATAATTTACGCCGCCTTGTGGGTGATGAATTACTTACTATCCTACAACCTCTTTCCAACAAGTGCAGTTGTACAAGCCCATCGCTATTTCATTGTTACTTCAATGGCAAATGTTCAGAGGTGTTGTGTTTTTTAGTGGCACCAGCTCATATCTTTACAGACGGTCCCGTTACACCCATAGAACTGAATCATACTAATTCTCCCCGTACTTCATTGGCAAGAAGGATGTTCCAGTCAACAAGTTTCTTTCCAAGAACTTCTTTGTGAAGCCGACTCACACTATGAATGCCTTTCTGAACACTAGAATTTTAACGTCTTCAGTACTAGAGTCATTCGTTATCTGTCTTCCTTATTTTCGTAATTTTCAATTCCTAAAACCTCCTCTATGCAGACTCAATTTTCTCTGTGGCCCATTTCGTTGTTCATTTGAAAATCCCCACCTGTTTGATTTGGACGTTCCCACTGGGTAACTAATAACTTGGGCCGTCCATTTTACTAACCGTAACATCGTTACCTCCTCCGAAAATAGCAAAATAGTGCGATATTCAGCAGGTCTGACAAAAGAGTAGATAGTAAAACTCAAGAACAAAAAAAAAAGAGCTTTTCTTCTATGTGCCATGTGTCTTTCAGGACGTTGGCGATCACGGCTCTCCACAATTTCCTGTTCTTTGTAGCTCTTAGTAAATGTTGTCTTTTTGCTATCTCTCTTAATCCCTGTTCTGCAATCCATTTACACGGGTGCTTAGCTGGGTTAGGCGTTGTTTTTCTCTGTTCCTTTTGACTTCAACATGTCCTCTGAGTGCTAAATTTTCCAAACCTTCTTTGCTCATTTTGTAACCGAAACATTTAAGCAATATATTTCTGATGTCAAATATATGTTCTTTTTCTTTTCCATTTTCTCTAAAACTCCGTCCAGCATCGGTCATTGGTATAGTGCCAGAGAGAAAAGAGCGAAAAAATGTTTTAAAAAGAGAGAGAAGAGAGAGAGAGAGAGAGAGAGAGAGAGGTTGTTTAATGGCATATCAACTCTTTATGGGTCATTTAATGCCGAAAGTTTTTTTTCTGAGCTTTGAAGTAACAAAAATATATGTTATTCTGCTTTCACAGTTGAATACATGGTAGGTGATACTCAGCTTTTTTGCATATACATATTTCTGTGGACATGATTACTAGAGGCGGTGATATGTGTGTTTTATGTTGTAGTTTTATTAAAGTTATATTTGGGAATACAGTTTGATTTCTTTAAGAAATTGTAGGATATTATATGGATTAATGTCATGAAAGAATTCTTTCACATTGGTTTACTTGTTAATTTCCTCTAACGGCATATCAACACCTCTATGGGTTATTAAATGCCGAAACTTGTATATTATGTGGATTAATATCGTCAAATAGTTCTTTCGTATTGGTTTCTTAGTTAATTTTGTTTAGCGGCATATCAACACCTTTATGGGTTATTAAATACCGAAATCTAAATATTTTGAGTCCAATTTCATGTCATCAACTACAAATAAAATGTTGAAAAACGTATTATTATACTTTTGAAGTGTTCCGGTTTTGTTTGGAGCTCCACTATTTTGCGCATAGCTGGGACCTAACAGGCACTACTGCCCAGGTTTAGGGTGGACCAGAGAACAACAGAAATTAAGTGTTCCACAGAAAGCGCCATATCAACTTCTATGGATTATTTATTGCCGAAATCTACATATTTTGAAGACAATTTTATTGCCTCTACTGCCATTTTGCTTTAAAGATGTATTGTTGGTAAGTTGATTTTTTTAGTGGCATATCAACATGTCTATGGGTTATTTAATGCCGAAATCCAAGTATTTTTTACGTAATTTCATACTTTCAACTACAGATATTTTGTACATATTTTTATACTTCGAGGCTAAAGTTATGTTGTTTTTTTTTTTTAGATATATCGTTTGTAGACGATGAAATGTAATTTCGGTATTTTTTATAATTTAACGTAAAAAATAATTTTTATATTTTTTTTTAGTGTTGCATTGATTGTCATTTTGAAAAGAAGTTTATTTTATTACGAAAATGTACTGTTGATTTTTGTTTGGTGTGGTTCACTATTTGCTCATAGCAGGGACCCTGACAGGTGCTACCGCCCCGGGTCAGGCTGAACCTGGGGACAACAGCAATTAACAGGTGGTTCTATAAATCCTTTTATTGAATCTCACGATCGGATGCCTTGGCGCCAGAGGTACTTTATTGTCATACCTAGGACGAACCACACACACACACACAGTGGGGAGAGAGAGAGAGAGAGTAAGAGCAAGTGTCAGCTACCAAGGAGAAACAGGGAGAGCAAATTAGAGAACGAATATGTTTCAAGAAAAGAAATAGGTTTCAAGAAAATCAGAGAGAGAGAGAAAGAGAGACAGAGAGAGCGAAAGAGAGAGAGCAAGTGTCAGCTACCAAAGAGAAACAGGGAGAGGCAGTTAGAGAAAGAATATGTTTCAAGAAAAGAAAATCTGAGAGAGAGAGAGAGGAAGAGAGAGATAGTGTGTGTGTGTGTGAGAGAGAGAGAAAAAGAGAGAGAGCAAGTGTCAGCTACCAAAGAGAAACAGGGGGAGGCAATTAGAGAACGAATAGGTTTCAAGAAAAAGAAAAACTGAGAGAGAGAGAGAGAGAGAAAGAGAGAGATAGTGTGTGTGTGTGTGTATGAGAGAGAGAGAGAGAAAGAAAGAGAGCAAGTGTCAGCTACAAAAGAGAAACAAGGAGAGGCAATTAGAGAAAGAATAGGTTTCAAGAAAAGAAAATCTGAGAGAGAGAGAGAGAAAGAGAGAGATTGTGTGTGTGTGAGAAGAGAGAGAGAGAGAAGAGAGAGAGAGAGAGAGAGAGAGAAAAAATGAATTTTATTGCAAGAAACCTGGGAGAGGCAATTAGAGAAAGAATAGGTTTCAAGAAAAGAAAATCTCAGAGAGAGAGAGAGAGAGAGAGAGAGAGAGATTGAAAGAGAGAGATAATGTGTGTGTGAGAGAGAGAGAGAGAGAGAGAGAGCGAGAGAGAGCAAGTGTCAGCTACCAAAGAGAAACAGGGAGAGGCAATTCGAGAAAGAATAGGTTTCAAGAAAAGAAAATCTCAGAGAGAGAGAAACGTAAAAGAGATAGTTATTTGTGTGTGTGTGTGAATAAGAGAGAGAAAGAGAGAAGAGATCATGGGGAGAGAGAGAGAGGATTTACTTGCGGGAAGAACTTTTTTTTTTTATTTCGAGTGAGAGAATGTGGGTGAGAGACCAGTAGGAACGATAAGATTGACACAATAGAACTAAGCCAAGTGTTAATGGATTGTGGGCGTCGATCCTCGAGAAGCAGCTGTAAATAATTTTCACGGCTGCTAGGCTCCGGCCGGCCATTATGACTCTGACATATTCACAGACATTCACTGTTGGATTTTTTTTTTTCTATCTCCGAAGACATGATCAAGTCAGTTAATTCCATCGCTATTCCAAGTGCTGGTTATTTTGGACGTTTTCATTAACTGTGACCTGCGACAATCTCAGTCACTAAGTGATCTTTTCAAGTCTCCGGAATTTCCGTTTTTATTTTGTTTATTATATTTTATTTAATCCATTCGCCCTAAGGAAGGCAATAACGTCACTAAGACGCAAGGGCTACTGGAAGATCTGAGAAGGAATCGAAAACCCAACAATAGTAAACATTTCAGAGTTTTAGACACAGATGTTAGAAGTATATAGTGAAAGTAGAACTTTGAGAAGTAGCCTATCTTAAACAGAAAAAAAGGGAAAAGCCTCTAACCCCTTTTCAAAAGACTCGGGAGGTGTGAGAAGCAGATGTTAGGCGAACCCATCTACTCCCACTGAGAAAACAAAAAAGTAATTCAATCGTCCATAAAAGTTCAAAGTTTTAGTCGGAGACGTTAAAATTATAGAGTTGAAGTAACATTCGGAAGGAACCGGAAACCCAATTCTAAACAGGAAACAAGGGATAAACCTCTTCTCCGGTTCACAAGACCGGGGGAGGGGGAGTGTGAACCGGACGATAGGCGAACCTATCTACTCCTATTGAAGAAAAATAGAATAAAAAAATAGGAAAAAAAATTCGGCGTTCAGATGGAGGCGTTAAAAGTACAAAGTTGAAGTCGATTTTAGAAAGAAACCGGAAACCCAGTCCTAAACAGGAAGAAGCGATAAACCTGTTGTCCGACTCAAATGATCCCTCCACTAAAAAATAAATAAATAAAAATAAAACAAAAAGAACCTTGGGCAAAATGAACCTGTCTACCTTTCTTTTTGTCTTTTTTTTTTTTCTATAGGCAAGTACACTTAAATGGCGTTATTGTAAACCGGACCGATTTTGGTTCTTTTTCACAATGGACATTTACCTACTCTTTGACTCTAGTGCAAAATGGACCTATGTTTAACTTTTTGAAATCAAGTGCAAACTGGACCGAAATAATCTTTTGACTCTAGAGTAAACCAGACCGATTTTAATCTGTTTAACTCAAGTGTAAATCGGACAATATATGTACGTTTTTAATCCAATGTAAAACGCACATACATCTGCATTTTGACTCTTGTACAAAACAGACCTATGTCAATATTTTTATTCTAGTGCAAACAGGACCATGTCCACCTTTTTGACTACAGTTCAAACGTTTGTACAAGTTTTTGACTTTAGCGTCAACCGGATCATATCTACAGTTTTGTACCTTTTTACTCCAATGTAAACAGGACATATTGACATATTTTTGACTCTAGCTCAAACTGAACATCTGAGTACCATCTTCTTCAAGTATAAACTGAACCATATCTACCGTTTCAAATTGAACCTATGTACATCTTTTTGACTCCAGTGTAAACCGGGCCTATATCGACGTTTCTTTTTTTTTTCTTCTAATTTTTGTCCTGTAAGACTTATATTCGACCTTAAATAAGCCATTATGGATCGATAGGTCATTAAATTAAGGAGCCTAACCTAACCTAACCAGATTATTCTATCTGTGAACCCGTTACTGGATTGGCTCTCTAAATAAACAGAATTATTGTTCCTGGCTTTCAGATGGGACGCGCCATCGTAGCCATTGTCAATGCAAGAGAAATGGCCTCTGGCAATTTAAACATACTTAACTCTTAAGAAGCGAACATAATTTTATCTGAAGAACGATATCTTAGCTTAAGCGTTCCGTTAAATATCCCGTTGCGCTGTGGAATCACACCGTGGAATCGTAAGAAAAAAAAATCTTCATGACCATAGTTCTTTTGCGTTGCTAAGATCAAGTTATCTCGGGTCGACTTCTGAAAATTTCACGATACAAGAGTTTTGAATTTACACTCTCTGAACCGACAACAATAACTGACCTTTTCTAAGACTCCATGACGCATCGAGGTATGGACTCCTTGGAAGTCCACAGGAAGACACGAGAGAGAGAGAAGAGAGAGAAGGAGAGAGAGAGGAGTGAGAGAGAAATAGTGAGTGAGAGAGAGAGCAAGGGAGAGAGAGAAAGAGAGAGAAGAGAGAGGGAGAAAGAGTGAGAGAGAGGTGAGGGAGAGAGAGAGGAGAGAGAAGGGGGAGAGAGAAAGAGCGAGTGAGAGAGGTGAGGGAGAGAGAAAGAGAGTAGAGAGAGGGGGAGAGAGAAAGAAAGAGTGTGTGTGAGAGAGAGAGAGAGAAGGAGAGAGAGAGGAGTGAGAGATAAAGAGTGAGTGAGTGAGAGAGAGGTGAGCGAGAATGAGAGGAGAGAGGGCAGAGGGTGAAAGAGTGAGAGAGAGGCGAGGGAGAGAGAGGGGAGAGAGGGGGAGAGAAAGAAAAAGCAAGTGAGAGAGAGAGGTAAGGGAGAGAGAGAGAAAGAGAAAGAGAGTGAGAGAGAGAGAGAGTGGAAAAAGGAGAGAGAAACGAAGAGACGGAATAAGTTTCAGGGAAAGCAAATTTAAGAGTGAAACAGAATTCCCCTGAGCGAAGAACGCTTCTTATTTCGACAGTCGACCTGGGTATGACGATAAATTAAATCCGGCAGCAAGGCCTCTCTGACCGGGATTTTTTGGATTTCGAAGAGCATGGAAAACACCTCTTAACTGCTGTAGTTCTTAGGTACACCATGACCTGGGGGTGGTAGTTCCTATTAGGGTCCCAATGTGGGCAAATATTAAACTCCCAAAACTAAAGATCAACAGCACATATGTCGTATCCTGTAGGAATTCCTACATTTAACCCCCCCCCCGAAAAAAAAACCGGAAGACGATGCTTAACCTCACAGGACCAGCGATTATTGTAAATCTGATTTAGGATATAAAAAAGTCCACAAAGCTCGAAAAAGGTCTTTTCTTGATCCATGCCATAAAGAATTATCGTATCTCCGTCTTCGTCTACTGGCACAGTGAATCTCAGTGTTGGCTCTGACAGCGAAGAGAGACAATTGGGGAACAGAAAAAACTGTAAGGTGCTCAGACCTGGAAAGCAGCTGCCTGAGGCTGAACCCCTTATTGCAGTAGAGAGTGAGATCGGTAGTTGCTATTGAAGTTAGCGCAACCGATGGTTGCGCGGACTAAGAAATTTTCGTCCTTGACGCGAGTGTACACGCTCGGGTTCCCCACACAAAACTCGACATTGTATCGCATTTCGTCTCAGTAGGCTGGGATAAATAACCATTCCGCGGCCAAATCTGGTCCTGGGAGCCAAGGGCGAATGATCACAGCGACACTTACCTGGCGATTGATCCGGAACGGGCTATCTCTCAGTGACGTGGCTTCATAGCAAGCTGGACTGTGTGATCATGGTTTAGAAGAAACTGTTACTGCTTCTCAAATTGTCCTCAGGTGCACAGGTTCTGAGATGACATCGGTGAGTTGACAGCTGAGGAGCCCCCCCCTCTACAATTTCATGTCCTTTTTCTTAATAAAATTTTCTTTTGTTCCACCATCCATTTACTTCGCTAGGTAGGTTATGTGTTGGTTTCCTCTGTCCCTCTTGCCTTCAATCTGTCCTGTGAGTATCAAATTTTCCAAGCCCTCTACAATTTCATTTCCTTTGTAGCTCTTAATAAAATTTTATTTTGTTCCACCATCCATTTACTCAATCTCCTAGTATAGGTTTTGTTGTTTTTTTTCCTCTGTCCTTCTTGCCTTCAATCTGTCCTGTGAGTATCAAATTTTTTCCAAGCCCTCTTTCCTCATTTTCATGTCCTCTGTAGTTCTTAATAAAATTTATCTTTTGTTCCATTCATCCATTTACATTTTCTCGCTAGGTAGGTTATGTGTTGTTTTCCTCTGTCCCTCTTGCCTTCAATCTGTCCTGTGAGTATCAATTTTTTTCCAAGCCCTTTCCTCATTGTTTCCCTTTGTCTCTTAATAAAATTCAACTCTTCCCATCCATTTACTCAAACTCGCTAGGTAGGTTATGCATTGGTTTTCTCTGTCCTTCTTGCCTTCAATCTGTCCTGTGAGTATCAAATTTTCCAAGCCCTCTACAATTTCATGTCCTTTGTAGTTCTTAATAAAATTTATCTTTTGTTCAATCCATCCCATTTACTCAATCAATTTAGGTAGGTTATGCGTTGGTTTCCTCTGTCCTTCTTGCCTTCAATCTGTCCTGTATCAGTATCAAATTTTCCTCATTGTTTTTTTCCCCTACAATTTCATGTATCAATTTTTTAGGTTCTTAATAAATTTTTATCTTTTGTTCAATCCATCCATTTACTCAATCAATCTAGGTAGGTTATGCATTGTTTTCCTCTGTCCTTCTTGCCTTCAATCTGTCCTGTGAGTATCAAATTTTCCAAGCCCTCTACAATTTCATGTCCTTTCTGCTCTTAATAAAATTTATCTTTTGTTCCACCATCCATTTATCAATTTCCTAGGTCTCTTTATGTAGGTTGGCATTTTTCCTCTGTCCTTCTTGCCTTCAATCTGTCCTGTGAGTATCAATTTTTCCAAGCCCTCTACAATTTCATGTCCTTTGTAGCTCTTAATAAAATTTATCTTTTTGTTCTGTCCATCCATTTACTCAATCTGTCCTAGGTAGGTTATGCGTTGCATTTTTCCTCTGTCCTTCTTGCCTTCAATCTGTCCTGTGAGTATCAAATTTTCCAAGCCCTCTACAATTTCATTCCTTTGTAGCTCTTAATAAAATTTATCTTTTGTTCCACCATCCATTTACTCAATCTTCTAGGTAGGTTATGCGTTGGTTTCCTCTGTCCTTCTTGCCTTCAATCTGTCCTCCTGTATCAAATTTTCCAAATTCTCAATTTCATGTCCTTTGTAGCTCTTAATAAAATTTATCTTTTGTTCCATCCATCCATTTATCAATCTCGCTAGGTAGGTTATGCATTGTTTTCCTCTGTCCTTTTTTGCCTTCAATCTGTCCTGTGAGTATCAAATTTTCCAAGCCCTTTACAATTTTTTCCTCCTTTGTAGCTCTTAATAAAATTTATCAATTTTGTTCCACCATCCATTTACTTTTCTCCCTAGGTCCTTTTGTTATTTCAATCTGTCCTGTCTTGCATTTCAATCTAGGTAGGTTATATCAAATTTTTCTCTGTCCTTTTGCCTTCAATCTGTCCTTCTTGTATCAATTTTCTCTCTTTAAAATTGTTTTCCTCTTATCTTTTGTTCAATCTGTCCTGTATAGTATCAATTTCCCAAGCCCTCTCTCTTAGGTTATTTGTTTTTTTTCCTCTGTCCATTTTTTGCCTTCAATCTGTCCTCTTTTTTCCTATTCTTGCCTTCAATCTGCCCTCTATCAATTTCATTTCTCTTGTATTTCATTAATAGCTTTTTTCTCTCATCTTTTCCTTCATCTTTTCCTCAATCAATTTAGGTAGGTTATGCATTGGTTTTCCTCTGTCCTTCTTGCCTTCAATCTGTCCTGTGAGTATCATTTTTTTTCTTTGTTTTCCTCTTTTTACAATTTCATTCCTTTGTCATTCTTAATAAAATTTATCTTTTGTTCCATCATCCATTGATTTTTCTGTCTCTCTTTCAATTTAGGTAGGTTATGCATTTTTCCTCTGTCCTTCTTGCCTTCAATCTGTCCTGTATCAATTTTAGGTTAAATTTTTTCTGCCCTCTACAATTTCAATCTGTCCTGTAGTTCAATTAATAAAATTTATTTTTTGTTTTTTCCATCCATTTTCTCAATCTTCAATTTTTAGGTTATGTTTTTCCTCTGTCCTTTTGCCTTCAATCTGTCCTGTGAGTATCAAATTTTCCAAGCCCTCCAATTTTTCCCTGTCCTTTGCTTCAATTACTTTTTTTTCTTTTTTCCTCCATCCATTTTCCTTCAATCTCCTTTAGGTAGGTTATGCATTGTTTTTCCTCTGTCCCTCTTGCCTTCAATCTGTCCTTTGAGTATCAAATTTTCCAAGCCCCTCTTCTCAATTTCATTCCTTTGTAGTTCACTTTAATAAAATTTATCTTTTGTTTCCACCATCCATTTTCTTTCCTCAATCTAGGTAGGTTATGCGTTTTTTTCCTCTGTCCTTCTTGCCTTCAATCTGTCCTGTGAGTATCAAATTTTCCAATTTTCTATTTTCTCTGCCTCTTACAATTTCATAAAATCTATCAATTTAGTATATGCATTTCTCAAACTCTCTAGGTTATTAAGTTTTTTTCTTCCTCATCCATTCAATTTATGTCCTGTATGCCCTCTCAAGGTAGGTTATGCATTTTATTTTTCCTCTGTCCATCTTGCCTTCAATCTGTCCTCTTGAGTATCAATTTGAGTATCAAATTTTCCCTCTACAATTTCAATCTGTCCTTTGTATCTTTTCTTAATAAATTTTATCTTTTTAATTTTTTTTGTCTTTCCACAATCCATTTACTCAATCAATTTAGGTAGGTTATGCGTTGTTTTCCTCTGTCCTTCTTGCCTTCAATCTGTCCTGTGAGTATCAAATTTTCCAAGGCCTTTTCTACAATTTCTTGTTTTCCTGTCCTGTTTCTTAAAATTTATCTTTTGTTCCACCATCCATTTTCAAACTCTTCTAGGTAGGTTATTGTTGGTTTCCTCTGTCCTTCTTGCCTTTTGCCTTCAATCTGTTTTGCCCTCGCATTTTTAAATTCCCTCTTTTTATCTTTAAGTTTCTCTGTCAATTTAGGTAGGTTTCGTTGGTTGTGTTCTTAATAAATCTTTCCTTTTGTTCAAATTTTCATCCATTTACTCTTTCTATGCCTTTTGCCTTCAATTGTATTTATCTTTTTTCAAGGTTATGTTTTATTTTCCTCTGTCCCCTTGCCTTCAATCTTCAATCTTCAATCTGTTTTTATCAAATTTTCCCTCCCTCTACAATTTCATTCAATCCTTTTTAGTTCTTAATAAATTTATCTTTTGTTCCACCATCCATTTTACTCAATCTATCAATTCAATTTAGGTAGGTTATGCATTGGTTTTCCTCTGTCCTTTTTGCCTTCAATCTGTCCTGTGAGTATCAAATTTTCCTTCTCCCTCTTTACAATTTAATGTTTTTTGTATCTCTTAATAAAATTTATCTTTTTGTTCCACCATCCATTTACTCAAAGTATCAATTTAGGTAGGTTATGCATTGGTTTTCCTCTGTCCCTTTTTGCCTTCAATCTGTCCTGTGAGTATCAAATTTTCCAAGCCCTCATACAATTTCATGTCCTTTGTGCCTTCTTAATAAAATTTATCTTTTTGTTCCACCATCCATTTACTCAATCTGTCCTAGGTAGGTTCTTTCCTCATTTTGTTTTCCTCTGTCCCTCTTGCCTTCAATCTGTCCTGTGAGTATCAAATTTTCCTTTCCTCATTCTTTTCCTCTGCCTTCACTTTTGCCTTCAATCTGTCCTTGTATTTTTTAATAAAATTTATCTTTTTTTCCTGTCATCCATTTCTGTCCAATTATCATTTTAGGTAGTTATGCATTGTTTTCCTCTGTCCTTCTTGCCTTCAATCTGTCCTGTAGTATTTTTCAAATTTTCCATTTTTTCCCCTTTTCTTCAATTTCCTTCTATCCTTTTCAAGCTCTCTTAATAAAATTTCCTCTTTCCTTTTTCCTTCAATCTGTTTACTCAATCAATTTAGGTAGGTTATTTCCTCATTTTGTTTTCCTCTGTCCCTCTTGCCTTCAATCTGTCCTGTGAGTATCAAATTTTTCCAAGCCCTTTCAATTTCATGTCCTTTCCTCTCTTAATAAAAATTTTTCTTTTGTCTTCTCCCTTCCATCCATTTTTTCAATTCCCTAGGTAGGTTATGCATTGTTTTCCTCTGTCCTTCTTGCCTTCAATCTGTCCTGTGTATCAATTTATAGGTTTGCTTTTTTGTTTTCCTCTATTTTTTGCCTTCAATCTGTCCTGTAGTATCAAATTTTTAATAAAATTTTTCATTCTTTTGTAAAATTTTCTTTTCCACCATCCATTTACTCAAGCTCGCTAGGTAGGTTATGCATTGTTTTCCTCTGTCCTTTTTTTGCCTTCAATCTGTCCTGTGAGTATCAAATTTTCCAAGCCCTCTTTCCTCATTTTTTTCCTCTTTGTAGCTCTTAATAAAATCTGTCTTTTGTTCCACCATTCATTTACTCAAGCTCTTTAGGTTATGCGTTGTTTTCCTCTGTCCTTTTTGCCTTCAATCTGTCCTGTGAGTATCAAATTTTCCAAGCTTTCTACAATTTCATGTTTTCCTGTAGCTCTTAATAAAATTTATCTTTTGTTTTATCATCCATTTACTCACGCTCAATTTAGGTAGGTTATGCATTGGTTTTCCTCTGTCCCTTTTTTGCCTTCAATCTGTCCTGTGAGTATCAATTTTCCAAGCCCTTTACAATTTCATATTGTTTTTGTCTGCTATTTTAATAAAATTTTTCTTTTTTTCCACCATCCATTTTTTCAATCTGTCTTCTATCTCATTTAGGTTATGCTTTGTTTTTCCTCTGTCCTTCTTGCCTTCAATCTGTCCTGTATGATTATCAAATTTTTTATGCATTTTTTTCTCTTTCCTTTTGCATTCAATCTGTCCTGTAAAATTTTAAATTTTCCTCTTTTTCTTGCCTTCAATCTGTCCTGTTTTTTTCCTTTTACAATTTTGCTTTGGTTTAATCTGTCTTTTTGCCTTCAATTTTCTGTGAGTACCAGGTAGGTTTGCATTGGTTTCCTCTGTCCCTTGCCTTCAATCTGTCCTGTATCAAATCAAATCTTTTTTCAATTTCTTCAATCTGTCCTGTTCTTCCATTTATCAAATTTAATAGGTAGGTTATTTTCCTCTGTCCTCTTGCCTTCAATCTGTCCTGTGAGTATCAATTTTCTTTCATGCAATTTCTGGTTTTTTATCATTTTCTAGCTCTTAATAAAATTTTTTTTTGTTCTCTGTCCATCCATTTCTGTCCTGTATCGCTTTTTTTGTAGGTTCCTCATTTGTTTTCCTCTGTCCTTTTGCCTTCAATCTGTCTTTGTGAGTATCAAATTTTCCAAGCTCTAGGTTATGCATTGTTTTCTGTCACTTTTTGCCTTCAATCTGTCCTGTTCTACCCTCTCTTTCCTCATTTAATTTAATAAAATTTATCTTTTGTTCCACCATCCATTTTACTCAATCTCCTCTAGGTAGGTTATGCATTGGTTTTCCTCTGTCCTTCTTGCCTTCAATCTGTCCTGTGAGTATCAAATTTTCCAAGCCCTCTACAATTTCATGTCCTTTGTCCTCTTAATAAAATTTATATTTTGTTCCTTCATCCTTTCCTCAATCTCATTTTCTAGGTAGGTTATGCATTGTTTTTTCCTCTGTCCTTCTTGCCTTCAATCTGTCCTGTGAGTATCAAATTTTTTCCAAGCCCTTTACAATTTCATTCCTTTCTTCCTCTTAATAAAATTTATCTTTTGTTCATTCATCCATTTTTTCAATCTTTCTAGGTAGGTTATCCGTTCTCTTTTTTTCCTCTGTCCCTCTTGCCTTCAATCTGTCCTGTGAGTATCATTTTTAGCTCTCTTTTATCATTGTTTTCCTCTGTACTTTTTCATTCAATCTGTTTGTATCTCATTTAATAAAATTTATTTTTTTTTTCTTCCATCCATTTACTCAAAATCTAGGTAGGTTATGTAGGTTATGCATTGTTTTCCTCTTGTCCTTCTTGCCTTCAATCTGTCCTGTGAGTATCAAATTTTAGGTTTCCTCACAATTTTTCCTCTGTCCTTCTCTTAATAAAATTTATCTTTTTGTTCCACCATCCATTTTTCAATCTCGCTAGGTTTTATCATTGGTTTCCTCTTCTGTTCTTTTGCCTTCAATCTGTCCTGTGATTATCAAATTTTAGGTATCCCTCTAAAATTGTTTTCCTCTGTCCTCTTGCCTTCAATCTGTCCTGTTCCACCATTTTCTTTAATCAATCCTCTCTATCATTAGGTTTTTATGCTTTTTTTCCTCTGTCCTTCTTGCCTTCAATCTGTCAAAGTATTTTCAAGCTAGAAAGCCTATTGTTTTCCTCTGTCCTTTTTGCCTTCAATCTGTCCTAAAAATTTATCTTTTGTTCCACCATCCATTTTCCTCATCAATTTTCTCTAGGTCATCCTTTTATTCAGGTTGTGCATTGTTTTCTCTCTCCCCTCTTGCCTTCAATCTGTCCTGTGAGTATCAAATTTAGGTCCAATCCATTTTAAAATTTCATTCCTTTTTGTATCTCTTAATAAAATTTATCTTTGTGTTCCACCATCCATTTACTCAATGCTCGCTAGGTAGGTTATGCGTTGGTTTCCTCTGTCCTTCTTGCCTTCAATCTGTCCTGTGAGTATCAAATTTTCCAAGCCCTCTACAATTTCATGTCCTTTGTAGTTCTTAATAAAATTTATCTTTTGTTCCACCATCCATTTACTCAATCTCAATTTAGGTAGGTTATGCATTGTTTTCCTCTGTCCCTCTTGCCTTCAATCTGTCCTGTGAGTATCAAATTTTCCAAGCCCTCTACAATTTCATCCTTCTCCTTTTAATCTCTTAATAAAATTTATCTTTTGCATTTCCACCATCCATTTTACTCAATCTCTCTTTAGGTTATGCGTTGGTTTCCTCTGTCCCTCTTGCCTTCAATCTGTCCTGTGAGTATCAATTTTTTCCAAGCCCTCTACAATTTCATGTCCTTTTGCCTTCAATCTTAATAAAATTTTTATCTTTTTGTTCCACCATCCATTTTGCCTTCAATCTGTCCTGCTCGCAATTAGGTAGGTTATGCATTGTTTTCCTCTGTCCCTCTTGCCTTCAATCTGTCCTGTGAGTATCAAAGTAAATGTCGTTAATACTGTTTATTATAAACAGAGCATTTACTTAAATATTTGTATCTATAAAAAGAACGTATAAACATAAAAAAATATCTTTATATATATATATGTATATATATAAAACATATATATATATATATATATATGTATGTATATATAAAGATATATATATATATATATATATATATATATATATATATATATATATTGCTAATTGATTTAAGGTATGATTAGCTCTTTGTAATATAAAATATATGCTGCCTATTTTATTATGTTCATGAAAAACAATTGATCCGCAGTAAAGAATTCCTGAGAAAAAAAAACTACTAAGACATATCACTCTATTTAGTTCATGTCATATTAACTGAAAAAAACACTTATAAAAAAAATTCGTGGATTTACCAAATTACAAAATTCATAAAAATTCTCTTTTGAAATATTTGAACTTTAGCGTTGTGACCTGCACGCTCCAACACTACATAACCGTTAATAAATAGCTCATTCTTAAAAACATCTTTCGGTCGGAAAAACACATTTATTTCGTCTTTCAGTTTTGATTCTAAAGGGGAAAAAATAGAGCCCGAAGATGAATGCGTGAAGCATTTGAAAGTACCAGCTGAATTAAAAAAATACACCATATCCATTTTATACATAAGGATCTACTCATTCAGTGAATTATTAGTAGTATAATGCTTATAATTATGTCTACTAGCGAAGGTATTTCGCCAATAATTGCATTAATATTGCTATTTGATTCAACGTATGATTAACTCTTTGAAATATAAAATATATGCTGCCTATTATATATATATATATATATATATATATATATATAAGTATCCTAAAATAAAGAATATTTCTCTACTTTGTATTGAGCCCTCTTTTAAATTAAATATTACGAACGTTGGAAATCGTACTCTATTCGTTCTCATCTTATCTGGATATATATCTTATTTTATCTATGTATCTTTATAAATTATCCCTGGGTCGGCAACACATCGGATTTTAGCAAAGTTTTTCCCAAGTAAACTGATCCACCTTGTTGCTATGCCATTTCAGTCGCCGTTCGTTTTTTTAATTCTCTTTTTTATTTTCAAATCGTAGTCTATTAAAATATTATATGAACTGGCTTACTGCGAAAAATCGAGTCGACCGGCGCCATATTCGAAATGTTGATGCATATACGAAGATAACTGAATAACGACAACTCTAAGAAAGAATTGGAAAAACGCATTTTAAACAAAGATTGAATCTTGGGAAAAAGAAAGAAAACTATTTGGTTTCAATAGTGGATGATGAGAATGAGATTAGAAAGATTCTAGTGAAATCTGTCTGAGTTTCAATCTTTTCCCTCATGAGGCAGAAAGAGAATTTCAATTTTGAATGTCATCGCCAAGAATTTAGGAAAGGTCGACTGGTAAGGTTTTGGTAAATTTGGGTAAAAACAAATTTAGATCGCAATAGCAGGGCTTGATAGAAACACACTGATACACACACACATATGTATATATATAAATATGTAAAAAAAAATAAGAACGAAAACTTTTCTATACCAACACGTTTTGTTCCTTGGGGAACTTTATCAAAGTCAATGTACAATTTACTGTTAAATCTTTTCAAGAAATAAGATGCGTTGGTATAAAAATGAGTTTCTTTTGTCTTTTCTTGTACTTACATTGACTTTTTATACACATACGCATATATCACACACACACATATATATATATATATATATATATATATATATATATATATATATATATATATATATGTGTGTGTGTGTGTGTGTGTTTGTGTGTGAAAATATATAGAAAATAGGAAAAGAACTCGTTAGGTAAATAATCCAAAGTTCTTTAGTATTTTTATTTATTATTTCCCAAAAAAAATTTGGAATTTGAAGATGGAACAGAGCTTAGTACTGTAATTCAATTTAATTCAGATAATTATATTGAAGTTTTCGGCTCTTGTTTTGAAACATGAGAACTCTTATGTAGCGTTGGAATCATATTTTTAAATAAATAATTATATATATATATATATATATTATTGATATCTAAATTTTTGCATACATACACACAAAGAAACAGATACACTCACACACATTCAACATATACAGGGTGAAACAAAAGTAGATAAAAAGGGGTTTATATTAGGGTTATATTATAACTATGCTGTTTGTGTTATATTAAATTTAATTATTGAATTTATTTAAATTTAATCTTTTTTGTCTGTTCAGATAGTTCAGAGAATCAATAATGGCAAATAATTTAGATACAGACACAATAAAATGGCTGTTAAAAGAGAATTGGAACTCTCAAAATGCTGATAACGTTAGAACAAAATGGCTTGAAAAATTTGGTACGCAAGCCCCAAAAAGACAAACCATCTCCCCTTTCTCAGAATTTAATTGTATTAGTATGAAATCTCAAAATAGATGTTATTATTTACTGTCCACCTACTTCTGGTTCACACACACGCACAGAGACATATATATATATATATATATATATATATATATATATATATATATATATATATTGCATTTTATTCAATAACCATTTGACTGGGGAATTTTTCAAAATGGGCGTGTACTTATAAAAACATACCACTTATTTCCGTATATATATATATATATATATATATATATATATATATATATATATATATATATATATATATATGGTGTTAACAAATAGTGCTCGGTGTAATATAACAGATATATAAATTATTTTTATAAATAAATATACATTATTTCCTGAACGGTAACACGACTCGGGTTTCAAGCCCAACACAATCATCAGGTGCTGAATTGTGCATATATTATAACTGCTGAATATATATACATAAATCAATATATATATATATATATATATATATATATATATATATATATATATATATATATATATATATATATATATAATTTGTTACATACCTCTCTGAAATACCACTTACACATTGGTAAAATATTAGCTACAATTTGCAGCACATTTTAAATAAGACATTAGTTAGAGAAAGACACCGATTTTAATAGCATCACAATTGCTAGGTATTTTAATCCCAGCCTGTTGATAATGTCTTACAATTTTATGCGATGTCTTTCTTGTGGGTATATGTGGGACGTATTTCTGCCACACCCTGTGTAAGCGAATTATTTTACTCGCTGAAACTGAACTATCCGTTGCGAAAAAAATTTAAAATCACAATTGAAAAACTGAAAAAATTATTTAGCTGGAGACTTTTTCATATTTATTTGTTTTTTAATTTTATGATAAGGGCTTCAAGAATTTGAAGTCCATTTTTTCTCCTTACAATTTCTGTTGTAGTGTATACACCTATTATTTTCCTGACAATTGGTGTATATTAATCATCTGTAGCACCGATAAAACTTTGAGCTGACAAATGGCAAATGAAGCAATAGGACTGTGTGGTACATACTGTAATCATTTAACCTGTGGAAGTATATAGCCAGTTATGGATCTGTCCATTGTGAAATACATTTAAAATCACAACTGTAAAAAGAAAAAACAAATCTCATTTAGCTGTGTTGGTTTGGTTTATTTTGTTTTAAGCCATATCAACCTCAGTGGGTTATTTAATGCCAACAAAATATTTTATTCCTGGTAATAATTCTTTTTATCCAAAATCTGTTTCTGGTAATATTTTTTCCATCAAAATTGTATTGCTGGTATTTAATTTTTATCAAAAAATAGTTAACTATTTGCCCATAGCTGGGACCCTAACAGGTGCTACCACCCCGGGTGAGGGTGGACCTGGGAACAGCAGCAATTAAGAGGTGGTTCCACGTTCCTCAAGACTTCCTTATCAGAGGCCTTGCTGCTGGACGCGGATGTAGTTTAATGTCTTACCCAGGAGGCTACAAATATTTGGAGTATACTACTAAAAGATATATGCTCTATGTTCATTAATATGAGCACGGATAACAGTTTGAGCTGACAAATGGCAAGCGAACCATTGGAATTGCTTGGTACTTACACTGATCAAGAAAACTATTGATATATAGAGCCAATAAGTATTTTAAGTCACTTTATGGATTCATCATCTTAGCTAGACTGACAGTCGCAATTCCTTGGGCACATAACGAGAAAGGGGAGCTAACTGGGGAATATTTGGGAAAGTTATGTGTTTGATGAGGAAGAAAAAAAGGCGAGGATAGAAAATTGTAGAGAGTCATGATCGCCTATATACTGAAAGGAAACTGCACATAGAAGAATACTTAATAGCAATAGATGTAATGCCATTATCATTTGTAAATTTCTTAGATGAAGCATTGGCTGTTATTAATAATTTTTAACTAGTAAAACTATTATCTGATTTCTTTTACTTTACACTTAATAATAATAAACGTAATAGTCTTTAATGGGAGAGAGCAATAGAAGAAAGATTTATTTTCTCATTTGTATTGTATTTCCCCCGTAATGAGTATTATTATATCCAAGATATATCATTGTAGTTCACGGACGGAACTGAATGGCTGAAAGGAAAACGAAGGACAAACATGCTTTTTTTCTCAGAGAGGCTTTTATGCCACTAAGTCATACACATAACTATACATACATATATACACATGCGGAGAATAATATATCACATATATCTTCACAACGAGCAGAGTCTAAAGAGAAACTAAAAGGAAAGGTGTTATAATATGGAAATTCTTCTGTGTTTCTGGAGAAGTCATGTTTAGGTCTCAAAACGGGCCGGATTCATCTATTATCTCCCAGGCGAGAACATATTCCACGAACGGGAAACAGCGACTCTTGGGTTGTTCCAAATTGACGACTGTGAGCTGAATTTCTCTCTATATCTGGGAACGATATATTCCCAAAGGGAACCTGCGCCATGGGTTTGTAAGTTGCAACATTTGCTGGACGAGGTAGATCTAGCCGTTTGGCTCAGGCTAAAAAAGCAACCGCAGGGTTTAGCTGCTGTAGAAAAACTAAATGTTTGGCTACTCTTGTCACTGTATGACGTGAAGTCTATAAGCAAGCGTCACGTGATCCATGTGACTTATCTCCACCAAAGGAAGATAATCGTCTTCTGTATCCCGGCAGTTTCAAGTTTTGTGAATTTTTTAGATGAAGCATTGGCGATTATTATTAATTTCTGGTTAATATTTCTTTTCATTTATCATCAGATTAATATTTTGGTTTTGCTGATTACTCTGGTATTAGGCAAAACTACCACTCAAGTAACCTATGCTGTGTTCACTTCTCTAATATCCTATATTTAGTTTGTTATAACGTACCAAACATAACAAACCATACACCGAAGTATTTGAAGTGTTTGAATTTATTCGTTCCACATCCTGATTTTTTATGATCGGTTCAGTGTCTTCCCTGCACCAATTCTAATTCCAGATCATTGTTCCTTGTTTTTTGGGAAAGTTTTCTTGTAAATCCTATTTCTTGAAACACAGTTCAAGATCATTCCCACCCCGACCATGAATACCTATGTCATCAGCATATACCCATCTTCTCATCATCAGTACACTGTCCTACAATGTCCATTTCTTCACATCTTGTGCACGCGCAGAGCATAGAGGCTGAACAGACTGGGGCTTTCGTTTCCTTCTTATCGTCCTCTTGATGAAATGTGAAATGCTTCGGAGTTTTTATCTTCACCAGACTTATATAACTTATGAAACTAATTAGAATACGCCCTTTGACTGACAGGCAGATTGATTATCGACATGGGGAACGTACAGTGCTGTTCGATAAAA